TTCTTAGAAGGTCATGAAATCAAGCCTGTGGAATTCTGAATTGTACCTAACTTACAAAGTAAACAAAATACTGCATCAGCAACAAATAAAATCAGTGAATTGTAATTTATCTGCTTAAGAGTCTATGCCTCCTATCAGACTGTGGGCTTCCTGAAAAAAGATCTGATTCATCACCAGCATCTGGTACATTGCCTGGTACACACAGAAGATGCTCAATAAATGGTGACTGAATATACTCACTGAGCATCTGCCCTTAAGCAAGGTACTATGTTAGGTGCCCAAGAGACCATAATGGTTCATTTGCATTGATGCCAAACATTTTAGATTATTTAAAAATTAAACAAGGAGATTTGGTCAAGGAGGTGCAGCAGCAAGTTACACCTGCTCTAATCCCACACTTACTCCCAACCACAAGGCTGTCCTCTGCATGCCTGCTACAGCAAACCAAATATTTTTCTCAAATGATGGAGAGCTACTTTCCATGCACCTCTGGTATGGTGTTCTTTCCGCTCAGCAAAGGAGGCAAACTCCAGAATCTTTGGTCATAAAATGTGTTGGTGAAAGTGGAGAAGGACAAGTACCAAATGATTTCACTCATATGTGGAGTATAAGAACAAAGGAAAACTGAAGGAACAAAACAGCAGCAGAATCACAGAAGCCAAGAATGGACTAATAGTTACCAAAGGGAAAGGGACTGGGGACCATGGGTGGGAAGGGAGAGATAAGGGCGGGGAAGAAGAAAGAGGGCATTACATTAGCATGTATAGTGCGTGAGGGTCACGGGGAGGGCTGCGCTATACAAAGAAGACAAGTAGTGATTTTACAGCATCTTACTACGCAGATGGACAGTGACTGTGAAGGGGTATGTGGGGGGGACTTGGTGAAGGGGGGAACCTAGTAAACATAATGTTCTCTCTGTAATTGTAGATTAATGATACCAAAAAAATGTGTTATGCATTAAATATGTAAAAAAAGATCATAGACATTTACATAATTATTTTCCAATCTGCAGTCCGTGAGCTGACAAAATGAATAGATATGGGTCTGTATTTAATAAGAGAGTCATTATATTACTATTAAGTCAGGATCACTGGCTTATCTTATTCTATTAATAGCAATGCTAACCCAGTGCTCCCACTATCCATACCTGTAAATTCTCATATTTTAAATTAATTTTCTTTCTTTTCCCTTAAATACTATTATACTATATGCTGTAAAACTGAACATTTGTGTCCCCCAAACGTTTTATGATGAAACCTAATCCCCAATATGATGGCATTTGGAGGTGAGGTATATAGTAGGTGATTAGATCATGAGGGTAGAACCTACATGAATGGGATTAGTGTTCGAATAAACAAGGCCCCAGAGAGTTTTCCTGTCCTTTCCATCATGTCAGGACACAATAATAAGATTGCTGCCTATAAATCAAGAAAGAGGCCCAAGCCAGACACCAAAAATGCTGGCACCTTGATCTTGTACATCCCAGCCTACAAAATTGTGAGAAATAAAGTTCTGTTGTTGATTATCAATCTAGTCTTTGGCATTTTTTTAAAGCAGCCCAAACAAACTAAGACACTATAAACCACTAATCATTTAAATGTTTCTCAACTTTTAAATTACAAGGCAAGAAATAAGATTTCTTTCAGTTGCACTCATTGTTAAACTTTCAAGTGTACAAATTTGTCAATATCGTAAGATACCTCTCTAATTTTGGTTTCTCCATTTTCAGCATTTTCATTGTTGTATTCTTCTTTAACAACTTCTTGCTTGGTTTCAGCTATTGTTTTGGCACTTGTATCTGTGTTTTTTTCCATTGTATCATTTTTTATCTTCATTTTCTATTCAGCAACACAGAATAAAAAAAATAAATATATAATTTAACTGGTGCATCGATTAAATGGCCCAAGTTATTTCACCAACTGTTGTAATAATTTATGGGAAAGCCTTAAGATACCAATATAAATTTAATATCAATAAAATTATCACTTGGCACTTTCAGTTTCATTGTAAACCTGAAGTGCCATTAAAAATGAATAATATTCCTCTGATATAAATCAAACAAATTTTCTTTTAGATGAGAAGCAGCAAGTTAGAATGCTGACCAGTGGCTGCTCAGGGCTAATTGCCAGCACCAGTTAGGCTTTGATAAATTAATTCTGACTAGAGTTTTACTAGAAGGGGACAATTTATCTCTGTTATGTCTAATAATTAGCAGTAAGGTTTTGTTGCCTGCAAATCTTCCAATGGTAATAATTAAGAGAAATACTATATTAGTGAGAGTATCAATTCAGATAGATTTGAAAGAGGTCACCTGGAAACATAGGTGATTCAGTCTTTGTATCTATAAGTTTTGGAATGACTTGAATCATGACTGCTTTACCAAGAAAGCTTTTTGCCCAAGTATGTATGTAGTAGAAAGAGTATGGTTTAAGGGGCCAGAAAATCTGTGTTTGAATTCTGGATCTGCTATTTAACTGATGTGATCATGAGCAAAAGTATAAATCACTTTGAGCATGTTTTTTCCTACTTAAAACAGAGCAATACCACCTAACTCATAGAGATGTTATAAGGAGCAAATGATACAATGTATGTGAACTTGCTTTAGAAAATAAAATTCAATATAGAAACTGAAACACAAGGAAGGTATTTTAAAGTTCATGGTTATATAGCATTTGTTTTATTCTAGCACTATCTTCTGTTGTTAACGGAACTAAAGTGTTTGTTATTTTAAAAAACTATAAATTGAGTACCTAATTTTATAGAATAGTGACCTTGAAATAGGAAATGGAGAAAAAATAAAAATAAACTTTATTTTCTGTTATTATTATTTCTAAAACTTCACATGCTCTAATTTTAGCAATACCTTTTAACCAAGTATTCCAAAGTATTTTACAAAGGTGACCATAATTTGTAGTTTCTTCAACTAAAAATGATGGGATTAGATGACCTTTAAAGTTCCTCCTAGCTTTAACCTTTCATAATTTTAAGAATCCAACCCATCATTAAAACATCAATCATACCTCAATAAAGCAGTTTAAAATAAGAAATAAAATTGTATTATTTTCACACACACTTACACATGTATAAATAAACATAAATATAGGGAGAAAAAGTGAACTTAATACTGAAATTATTTCTATTTCTAATGCCTTTAACCACAACATCAGAACATACAATTCTATATGAAATCGTATACATTTAAAAATAATGTATGTGAAAGCACTTTTCAAACTGCAAAGTATTTTCAAATGTTAGTTACTACTCTTCTTACAAAACATTACTTTGGTTTCTACAGTTTACACCTTTTGTTTTCCCGGGAATATCACTATTGTGATTGTATGATATCAAAGGCATATACATTTTATGGGTCCATCCAAGTAAAATTTTATTTTGTCTCATCCTAATGAAAATGCCAAAACATAATGGACAATCACAGAATATGAACAAATAATATTCCCTACTGAAAGGGTTTACATATATCATACAGTATAATGTAATATACTATTAAATGAGCCAAAAATTTGAGGAAAGTGGACATTTCCCAAAAGCTTATTCCTGAAGAAAATCAATTTTTTCTCAATATTGCATGTTAAATATTTACCCTTGGAGTTGAAGATCTTTTGGGCTTCAACTCTGGTATAACAGGTACAGGCATCTGCATCAAAAAACGCAAGTTAATGGTATGGGGAGAAAAGGAAGAAATCATAATTGAAGAAAGATAGCTAACAATGAAATTCAATCTCTTAAAATAAATGAGTATAGTTCAAACTAAAAAAAATTTCCTTGGTGTGAAAGTTGTTTCTTAAAACATGAAAAACAAATCTTGTATTAAATAGCTACTATTGTCCATGATTCCCTGAATTTTAAAATTACGTTTTACACTACACAGGCAACTTTTTAAAGACTACTTACAGAAGACAGTCTGGCTGATCTTCTCTTTGGCTATAAATTAAAAAAATCAGTTAAGAGAATTATGGATACCCAAAACTATAATTATTTATATTGTGAAAATATTTAGTGTAACACTACATAAATATTATCATTAAATAAGTAATTGTGAACTCGATTAGAAGATATTGTAGTAGAAATATGTATTGATTTTTTCCTCCTCTGGACCCTTCACACAGCTAAGGAAAAAAATCCCAGATTAAACTTCAATTGCTAGGCTAAATGAACTCAATGGCTTGTAACAAGGAGCCTACTTAGAAATGAAAATATAGCTCTTTCTTGAATACCAACAAAACAATTATTTTGCTTAAAAGGAAGCCCTCTCCAGATATTAACAAGCACATTAGGGTCCTAAATTCCAAGAAATTTGGAGTTTTCAATGCCTACTATATTTCTGAGAGAGCTCAACTGGCATACCATATTGATAGTTATATAGTGCAAATGTAATAACCAGCACATATATATTTTTTAGCTGCTTATGTGTCTCAAATTCATAAAACGAGTGGATTTTTTTCGGAGAGATTCTAAAACTAAAGAAACTCACCTCCTGCCTCATTTCACCTTGACCTGCAGCCTACACAGAGGAGAAAAAACACACAGAAAAATAAGGTCATCGATATAAACACACAGATGAGAAAATATTGCCCACGGATTACAGCTGCAATATAAACCGTTCATGACTTTTTCCAGTTTTTCTGCTCAAATGGCCATATGTTATTTCCTAGTACCATGCTACATACTGATGTTTCCAAACGTGCAAAAGTGCAGAAAGATGCAAATGCATTCTTGAGACAAGTTTACACGACTAATAGTCAATTTCATACTTTTGTGTAAATTGCATCTCCTAAACACAAACCTTTTAAATTTTAAAATCCACCTGCTATAGCCAGTGCTAAAGCCAAAACAGTGTGGGGGCGGGCAAAATGAAGACGGAGCTTCATGCATTCCACTGTTTTACGTTATGTTTGATATACAGTTATATTTACCTGACCCTATCCAACTGACTCTGGACTAGTCTCCCCTCCAAGTTCTGTATACAAGAACTACAATCACCACAATGCTTTGCTGCTGGTGGTGGGGAACCTCTTTGTTACAACGTCAATGTATTTTTCCGAGGAGCCGGCCGCGGATTTTAAAACTTCGCGCTACTACCTGCTACAAGGTTGCTGTCAGCTCTGTGAAATAGCAAGACCCACTGCAGAAGCCTAGGAAGCCCAGCAGCGGGAATCTCAGGAAGGGGGATGGTAGTTAGAAACCATTGCTTTCCATATTTGAGTAGCGCTTTAGCCTGGGAAGCATGAAGCTGTTGCACGATTCATACTCACAGCCCCAGGGTACCGGGGAATTTCGGTTTTATTCCTGTGTTCTAGAAATCGGGAAGGCGGATGGATAAATAGGATAATATCAAAAACAATCATAATGCCTTACATTAGCACAGTGTTTAACAATTTTATCAAACATTGAAATAGCGTTCTACTTCACTTCTAAGGGACCTCTCAAAAAACACACAAACACTGAACACGAATTTATTTTCCGTTCAAGGGAGGAGCCACGAATTTTGAAGTGAGGGTTTGCAGAAGACCTGTAGCCCTTGAATAGCTCAGATCAACTCTGCATGTTTAAGGTGAACAAATCCATGCTAACCCAACATTAGCAATCATACAGTTTAGCGAACCCAATTGTTTTATCGTCTTTCCACCTTTAAACAGATAGCTTGCAGAGCCCCAGATAGCTCAACCCCAAAGTTGTTCATTACAGCGGTGAATATCTCCCTTCTCTAGGACAGTCTAAAGTCTGCGCCGCCTAATGGCACAGGATTACCATTGCATAGCCATCTGGCCTGACAAGTGGAGGAGGGAAGGGAAAAAAAGGAAAAAGACAACGGGAAGAACAAAGGCAAATACAGGAGAAAGCCATGGCTTTCGTTCTCCCAAACGGGACGATTCCCAGAGAAAAGCAGGAGGCTGATGATGAAACTGATGCCTGGAAGTGTGGCTGGGAAAAATGTTCTCCAATAGGGTAAGCGGAGAAAGGGAGTGGGGTAGGAAGCGACAGCACAGCGCTATAACTGTTTGTAATTCAGCGTGGAGACACCCCTCAAACGACTCTCCCTTACACAAAACAAGCCAAAAGTGAACTACTAGTTGCATGCGAGACCACCCTAAACCTTCCACCGACTGTTCTTTGCCCTCCCCTCCCCTTTCATTCACTACATCACAAAATCGACCTAGAAGCCAGAATGCTTTCGAAAAATCTCTGCTGATTAGGAAATATGTATTTCAGTCGTTAATCCCCTCTTCTATCTTCCCATTTCACTTACCTTTCTTTTGGGCATTGTTGCAGCTCTCTATAAGAGATCTCAGCAATCAGTAGAAAAAAAAAGCCGAAAGCAGTCTCTGCCCGACAGCTCAGAGAGCAACTGAGTTTTCAATGAACTAATTGCAGCACGACCTGTACTCGTTTCCAAAAAAAAAAAAACACCCTCGTTATTGGCACCATTAAATACACCGAGACGCAATCACCAAACTACATTAATGGTTAGCACGAGCGGGAGCCCAAGTGGAGCGTCAGACTGTCAGGCCAATAAGGGAAGTGAACCAGCCCAGGGGCGTGGCCCACGGACTCGCCAGAAGCTCTAGTACGCTCGCTATTCCTACCGCTGGTGGGGTGCAGGAGCCCGAGAACTTAGTAGACGCAAAGTACTGAAGCATATGAACGGCGGGAAAGCAGGAGTTGTCTTGATCGGGTTTTTTTCTCTTTTATGTTGTAATGACAAGTGAAAGTCACTGCAGATCCCTTCTCCACAGCCTCAAAAATTCCACTTTTCTTCCTTGGGAGAAAATGCTTTTGAGACTGGGCTGAGTCTAGGCTCCAGTCTTTACATTCTACCTGTGGCAGGAGGATGGAGATGAACTGAGGGGAGCATTTATTCAGAAAATAGAAAAGAGTGAAGCTGTTTCTCTGGTTATGAGAACTTCCCACCAACGTAGATTTGTGGTCCTGGTAGGAGGACGGTGCCAAAATGGCGCGTCTCCCGCAGATGGAGAGTGGCAACAAAACTGATCACCTAAAGAGCAGGATGTGCCTGAAGGTAGGGACGCCTTATAAATACCGTTATCCCACCTTGGTAGGAGTCCACCAAGAATTCACTGGGACCTTCCGTGAAGTTTGTAATAACAAAGGTCAATCCAGAAGAAAAGTGCTGATACACTGGATTTTGAATGCAAAGGTGGCATATAGTGAAGGGGTTCTGGAAGGTGTCACACAGCAAAGTGCTTAGGAATCAGAGCCTGGACTAGGATAAAACAGTTAGGCACTTGCTTCCGGCACAAAGTCTAAGGATTTGTGAAAACTCAGGATATCAGGGTGAGGCAACTGAGGCAAGTCATCCAAGTGCAGGATGGGATCCAGTCTCTATTTAAAATTTTGATGTTTTGTTCATCATGGACTTTCTTACATTAATTTAGATCTTTAAGATGGTGCATTAAATATATACCTTCATTCCAGTTTTGGGGTGGCCCCTTATATCTTGTGCCTTAGGAGAGTGCCTCCTTAGCCTCGCTGTAGTCCTAGCCATCTTTAGGTGGCTTTCTACTCTAAAAGAGGTTCCTATCTGCCTTCTAAAGTTAGTCCTTGAGACCTACACGTTGTGAGAGTGGGGGTGGGAATTTGGTGAATAAGGTACATGAAGATAATATGTGTAGAATGTAGGATCCAGGTCCCCACAGCCCTTTCTCAGAGTGCCCTGCTTTGGTTGTTGTATCAGCTAATTGGGTTTAAAAATGCTCCAACAGCCCAAATCCCTATTCTGGAAGGTTAGTCAAAAAAGGAAATCAACCCTTGAACTGTTACTTAAAGAAAGAATTCCACTTGTGTTCATGTGGATTAAAAATTGGAATCAATTTAAAAAATATTCATAGCTACTACAAAATGCCAACCCATCCCTTAAAACTAAGATACAGCCTTACAGAAGAACCCATCATTTAAATTTTTGCCCACTCTTCCTTAGCACCAACAGTGTGGAATTAAACCAATCAGGTAGTATAAGACGTTTTGCAGCTCAGTTTCTCTCCTCCAACCTCATATTGCATTCTGATTCAAATACATAAATCAAAAAGACATTTAAATTGCTTCATTTGCCCATAGTTTTTGGGATCACCTCTAGATGCTCTGGATGTCTCTTTTTATGCTTATGTGAAAGCACTATTGGGTGAGCCTAGGTATGTTTCAATCATTTTATTTTCCAAGAGTTAGCAGGTAAGCAAGCATGAAAATTGGGTTCAATATAAGGATAAGGAGGCACATGAAGGGAATGAAAAATGTATCAACAGTGGAACACATTCATTCAACAAATTTGTATTTAGCATTATTTTGTGAGTTGGATTTTGTTTTTGTAGACTAGCCTATGAAAATGCAAATCCCTGTGGCTTGCAAGGTTGCATTGCATGATTTCTGCACTTAAATATTTTTATAAGTTTGTAAGATAGAACAGATGCGTACATATTTATAAATAAAGTTGGCTTGTATCATATGAGTACTACAATCTAAGTTCAATAGTAAAACAGAAACTATCTTTTAGGACTGAGATCACTGAAGAAGGCTTTTGTTGAAGAGGTGGTATTTGACTTGGTTCTGAACTGTTGAGTAGACTGTTACATTAAAGCAAATGCAGGCAAGGAAAGTTTGTACTTGTTCAGAGAACAGAATGCCAAGTAGATTGAAACAAATGATCATGAAGAGGTAAGGCTTAGTTTGGAGGCAAAGCAAACTATGCAGGTCAGTGGACTCTAAGATCTAAGTTTGTCAGCAATTTTATTTTGGGGTCAGTTTGTCTTCCTTGCAGTCTAACATGTTGCAACTGTGATTTATGTCTTAACAGATTGAAAAAACTATTCAGATATGCATAAGAAAATGTTCCAAGTGTGAAACATTTCTCTAATTCCTGGCCTCCCCACTCCCCATATTCTTCTTTCCAACCACTAACCAGGGTAGTTTTTTGTACAAACCAACCTGCCTTAGGATCATTGTCTTCACTATATTACTACTTCTGACTGCAGCCTCATTCTCTTGTATCTTTGCCTATTGAATGTCTACCAAACTGTTCAGACCCAAGTCAAATATCACCTTTTGACAAAAACTTTCTCCAATCATTTCAAACCTAAAAGTTAGATCCTGCCTTCTTATTGTACTACAAATTTAGACTGTACCAGTCATATGACACAAGCAAGTTCATTATTTTCCACTTTCTCCTCAACCACTCAGTCCTCCAATTTCACATTGATTTAAAATTTTATAAACTTATTTCCCCTTGCTTAAATATTTCCTCAGCACATCACATTCTACATACCTTCTATGGAATTTACTAACTTTAAAAACTACTTTTCTAAATTGATGTTATTCCTTAAGTTTTTATTTTTGTATAATTGTCAAAGTGAGACTCTTTATTGGCTCATTTTTTCCCCAAAATTACATGGGTTTATTTCTCTTTTTAAATTACTTATTAATGACTATAAAGGTCATTTGTCAGACAATTCTACTCAGGACTCTTTAATTTTCCCTGGGGTATTAACTATGTCTACTACCACTCTCAAAATTTATAAGAGCTATAATATGTTCATTTAGTATGCATTGGGAAATGATACAGGAAAATATATAGAGAGAAAAACAACATTAAAATGTTTGAGACAGACAATCCAAAGAAAATATTAAGATTATGTGTTTGTGAGAAAAAGGATGCTAAGTATTTAAGATAAAAAGAGGTCTTCAAATATTCTGCATATTCACAGTTTAAAATAGTACATATGACGCATAATTAAAAGTATTTCTATATACACTGCTTTGCCTGCAAGGGGATTTCATAAAAACTGATTGACTAGTAATAAATATTTTCCTTGCCCTATTAAATTATCTTTAATTTTGGCCTCATCCATTATTTTTCCCATTATATTTATAAAAACTTTTAAAAAATCAGAGAACTGCCTACTATTGTTAGCAAATACTAATGCAAGACTTCTAGCATATAATTAAATTACTGTGTTTTAAACATATTATTGGTTGGTATACTCTGAGGGCAAAGCAAATGATAAGTCTACAATGAGCCAAATAATTCACTTGCACTTATTTTTAAGCTTTCTTTAAGATTGATCTGAGAAATTTGTTTAGATTGATGACAGCATTTAACTGAGAATCTGGAAAACTGTAATTCTGAAGAACCAAAGCATCCCATATCTTATGTTTATTCACAGCAGGCCTAAGACTAATAAAATACTGAATTAATGAGTGGTCCCTACTATAAAGGATCTAGAAAGTATATTTCCAAAGGTAAAAATAAATGGGGCTGTTTTTCAGAGGAAGAAGGAATATAATACAATTTTATGTTTTTAATTGAGAAATTTCTACCTATTTTTAAAGTAATAATTTGAAAGGATCTTGTTTTTAGGTTCTCAGACCTTAAAGCTTAGAGGGAACTATTATAGATTTTCTAGTTCAATGTCATTGGAATACAGATGAACAAAATCAAGCACAGAGAGTTTAAATGACTCATCTAAGATCATCTATTAAATGTGTAGTGGGTTTTTTTCTCATTTTTATACTAAAAAATTATTTATGGTTGTGATATTAGTAATTACACAACTTATGCAGAAATGTTAGTGACAACATGGAATATTTGTTAAATTGAAATTCTATTCAATTCCAGTGATTTCAGAACTCAAGAAGAAATTTTGGCCATCAGCCTACTTCAGGTATTTTTTAATGCTTTTTCACTGGGTCCTTCATTCTCCTATGATCTTAAACTTGAATTCTCTAGTCAGTTTTCAACTACCTCAAGAAAATAGAAAACTTGGGGGAAAAAAATTCTACTTTACCTTTTCTTTTTTCTTTCTTTTTGGTCTAAGGTAATTTCAATGACTGTAGGTTTTTAACTTAGAACTTGTCAAATACTTGCCCATGTTTTTCTCTTTTGCCAGGAGACAAGCTTTCAAATAAAAATGCAGGTGAGCTTTCTCATTAGCTAAAAAGTTTTTTGAAAATTTCCAGCTTCCAGTAAGTGTCCTCATTTACTTGAAGAGTTTCAAAGTTCCTCACTTTAGCTATAAAGACTTTTGGTTCCCTTAAATTTACTAAATTCTACCTATTGAACTTAATTTGTGTTTTGGTATTGTTTTAACTATGTTTTTACATGAAATATGACTTAACATCTCAAAAATTTTCAGTACTTTACCATCAGCCTTATCTTATAGAAGCATAGATATTATTAGTTCGTAGCTTATAAACTACTAAGATGTAGCTTGGGACACTTCTACAAGTTGTGTGAATATTATGGTACACCAAGACAATAGCATCTGTAGTTTAAAATAATTATATTTTGGCTTCTTATATGTTAATTTACCTTAATGCTCCACACTTCTATTTCCTTAGAAATTTCACTAATGCTGGTTACCCTCAT